TCGGTGCGGGTAACCGAATGGTTCGCTACTGTGGCAGCATACTCAAGACGGAAAATTTCGGTTCCTCTAACCGAAAGCATTTGTTAATGTAAACAGTGCTTCAGTTAATGAGAATAGACTATGTATTGCTCCAACTGAAACTCAATTAACTGAATATCTTTGCCTGCTATAGCCGAATCTTTTTTTCCGTGTACTATCGTGCGCAAAGTTCGATTTTGCACACGCATTTGCGTTTCACTTTCCCACACTTGTAGTTTAGCGTGCGGGAAAGTAGTTATGCGTGCGGGAAAGTAGGTAAACGAGCGGGAAAATATAAGGCTCGAATGTAGACGCGTTAGCGTGAGAGAGAACGCTGTAAACAGATTGACGCGTTAGCGTGAGAGAGAACGCTGTAAACAGACGAGCGTCCACGTCGAGTCGTCGCTCGTTTGTTTATAGTTCTCGCTCTTTGTAGCGCAATAACCTTTTTAACGCGTGACTAAACCTGTCAAAACTTGCATTCTTTGTTTTACTTATCATTCGCTGTTCGTCTTTAGTACGGAAAAGAACGTTGCAGGTTCTAGACGCTTCTTCTACAAAGAAAAGGTCATTTTGTCAATGTGTCCGAGTGATAGTGATAGTGAAGATGTATCCAATGATGTGCCACCTGAAATACTGAAGACAGCAAAAGAAATCGCCTTTAATTCTTTACCAAAGATTTCTAAACAAAAATATACAAAAGAATATAACGAATTTAAAATATGGCGAAGTACAAAGAACACCACATCATTCGCAGAACCCATTTTATTAGTGTATTTTAATAAAATAGCAAAGAAGTTCGCTTCATCGACAATATGGTCTAAATTTTCTATGCTAAAAGCAACGATTAAAGCTTACAATAATATTGATATCGGCACCTATCCGCAATTGATTGCATTTCTAAAAAATAACAATGCAGGATATAAACCAAAAAAATGTAGTATATTTACAACAATTGACGTATCGAAATTTCTTGATGAAGCACCGGATGCAGAATATCTTATTATGAAGGTATATATATTTATTTATTTACTAATATTTAACATCTCTTTCTCAAGAAATAATACAGAATTCTGCTTTACCATCTGAACTGTAATGGTCATAACATTAACTATTTAACATGAATTTAAAATGCCTTATGTTTACGTGAGTGCGTAGTGCTTTTGTGTAAATCGAAATTTTTTTTTAGTCTTTGAATTCGTCAAAATTGATCAACTTCTTTCTATTCAAATTTGGTCATTATATTGAATATATATAAAAAATAATTCTTTCTTTTACAGGCATTGCTAGTTATTGGACTTTCTGGTGCTTGTAGAAGAGAGGAATTGGCTAATATATGCATGGAAGACATACAAGATCATAAGTCATTCGTTTTCATAACATTGCCGAAAACCAAAAATAAGACCGTGAGAACGTTTACGGTAGTTGGGAAATTTTATGAAACACTTAAAAAATATATGGAAAAAAGGCCAGAAAACTCAAAAACCAATAGATTTTTTTTAACATATAGAAATGGAAAATGTGTATTACGGCCTCTTGGCATAAATAAAATTGGTAGTGTACCTCAAGAGATTGCCAAATTTCTGAAATTAGAAAATCCTGAACGTTTTACAGGCCATTCATTCCGAAGATCGTCTGCCACTATACTAGTTGACGCAGGAGAAGATATTTCCACGTTAAAAAGACACGGTGGATGGAAATCCAACACAGTAGCCGAAAGTTACATAGAAGAATCATTGGCAAACAAAAAAGCAATTAGCCATCGTATTGAAAGCGCAATACCGTCTACGTCTAAAAATTCAAAGCGTTTAAGGCTCGATAATAATACAATAGATAAATCCACAACAAATGCAATGAAGAAATGCACAGTGTATTTTGATAATACATTCTATGCAAACCCGTCAGAAAATAGTATAGTTATCGAAAATAGTCCCGCAGTAACTCCCCGGGCCCCCCCCGCCACTCCCGAAATACCTACCAAGCAATGCGCAAATGAAAACAATATAAATATATTGAATGTCAAAAATCAAAATACTACTGTAACTGAAAGTACGCCAGTAAACGCGAATGCTTATTTGAATACATTTCAAGATGGATTTAAATTTATAAATTGCAATGTAACAATTAATATTAATAACAGTAATAATAAAAATTAATGTTTATATGTATTTCTAAATTTATTATATTTATTAAAAAAAATTCTCAAATGGTTTTTTCCATTCGGGTTCGCTTCGCTCGGGCGACAAACTTCGCTCGTGTGGGAAACACCTACTTTGCGCACTTGTATCGTAATGTACTATTATACCTTCCTAAATTTAATCCTTAGTATTTTCATAATTTATAAACGTTTCCTAAAAAAGTTGAGTCCACATAATTTATGGATTTAATTAAATACTTACATAATTTCACTTACATGATACTTATACAATTTATATTTATAGTGCAAATATGTGTGCGTGCTCACATAGGTAAAATATTCGAACTGCATCACAGGAATATTCTAAAGATATTTTTATAGCCGTATATTTTTATAGCCTGATTCCTAGACGTATTTCGGACAATTCTATTCTGTGGGTGTATAAGACTATTTTATAATTTAATTTTAATTCTTTTATATTATATAAAACATGTTTTAGTGATGCATTTTACAATGTAGTCTACATAGTCTACATTGTTTACGTGACGAAAAATTATGCAAACATCACGTAGACTTCACGTAAATAATCTGTGTAGACGTAATCTTAAAATCTACGGCACAACCCTGTTAAATACCATTTTCAACGGATATGAGATTGCATATTGATAAATTAAAATATGGTTGTATATACTTTTAGAGGAGAAGGTGGTACTGTTATGGCCTCTTATTTACATTTTTTATAATAACATTATTAATAATTAATCGATACTAAGATTTTATTCGGACCGACAGAAAATTAAAATACTAAGTATAAGCATATTCGGGCCTATGATGGTCAAAGCTAGATCTTTTTTACCTAAATAATTCTCAGTGAAATATCTATATCCTATATGTATATGTACATGCATATATATCATATTTTATTATTAATAATTAATATTTTATAAATTTAAAACTTAACGATTACGTTTGTAGAAATGTCATTCATTAATCATTTTTAGATTTAAAATTATAAAATATTTATGAATTATTATACTTAAAACGTTATTTATAAAAATGTGGTGACACTAATGTATAATACATATATCGAAGAAGAAATAGAGGTAGTAATGTGATCTCTACAAAATTTAAAGGTTTAAAACCGGTTTTGTTTAAAATAACACAGTATTTGCAGGTTACAAAATTATATATTTACAAATAAAAATAAAATGTTGCTGAACTTATGCAAACGTATAGGTACATGTACATACAACTTCTTTTGCTATACTTTTTTTGTTATTGTTTAACTTTATTAGGAGTATGCATTAATTTTAAAGGATTTTCAAGAGATGGTGTAACTATTACTATTGCATCGGGCTATATTGCTACCTTCACGTTCAAAGCACCATTATGTGACTTTAATTTTCCGTATGTGCCATTATACCGAATTGCACACATTATTTTTTTGAGCATTGAATATGTCGAATTTTATGTCAACAAAACACAATTTGCGGGAAGCTTTGCTTTTTTGCTTTCATTTGCTGCTGAAAGTCAACGAATGCTGGCGGAAGCTTATGGTGATTATACTTTATCGATTTCAACATGTGAGTACTGGTTTCGACGCTATAAAAAAGGTGATTTTGACACGGAAGACAAGGACCAGCCGAAAAAATTTGAAGACGTTTTTTCGACGTGGAATCCACCTATTACCAGAAAAATAGGAAAAAGTAGTGGCTAGCGATTGACAATATTTTGAATGATCAATTTGGTAATCATTTCTTCACAACAAAACCATATTTTTACCAAAAAATCCTTTAAAATTAATGCAAACTCCTAATACATAACTCGAAATGTGTACAGCTATATAAATAAAATGTTAATTTATTAAAAAATAAATTATATTCTATATAAGTGTTCTTAAATCTTTCATATCAATCCATTTTTATTTGTAGTGCACGGATATCCAATAAAGTTACAAATATTAATTTTTATCAGCCATTAAAAAATTTTATTATATATTTTTTGTGTACTTTTATATATATTGACCAGTATTCAGAATGCGCTTCTATTTCTGAAATTCTATAATATGCGTAACATAAGGTACAGTACATCAGTGCGCTAACATTGTTGTAAGCGCGTTCTGAATACGGGTCATTATGTTTTCTTATATAATTTATACCTAATATATTATAGTATAAGCATTCCTTTGCCACTTACTTCATTACACCTATTTTATATAATATAATTTGAAAAATCTATGTAATGCTATTTTTTGCCATTTTACAAAAAATAAGTAATCTTAAATTTAAAACGTTCCAGTTAAAGGATCCTTAGGCGCATCTTGAGTGTCCCAATTCTTGAGCTCGTCCAGAATCCTCACCAGAAGCGGGTTACCGCCTAATCGTTCAATTTCAGTCCTTGCAGTCGAATCTAATTCTTGAAGTACATTTCTCGTGTATTTAAAGGAGCCAAATCTCTCTAATAATTTAATGCAATGACGTTTCACTTCGATGTCCTTTGTCCGCTGTCGTACAATACCTTTATTAAGCATTATTAAAGAAATATATAAATCTAATAAATTTTAATAAAAACTTTCAAATCTGAAATATATGGAACAATTAGTAAAAAAAAGTTTATTAATTGTATAACGATTATACTTTTTACTAAATAAAAATAACATTTAAAAAAGGATACTTATTATTTGTCTATCGTCAGGATTGCTTCTAAGGGCATGAATAATCGGAAAGCTGAATTTTCCTTCAGTTAAATCTTCACAATAACTTTTATTCTCGGTGTACTGTAACCAAAATAAATGTAGGTAATATAAATGTATTTCATTAAATCGAATATATTATCGCTTACCTCACCGAGGCACAAGTTGCAATAATCGTCGCGTATTTGAAAATATAAACCTAACGTAGCTATTAATGATGAAAAATCTTCTTCATAAGTCGAGAACAGTTTCATCAATCTTACCGCTAAATTGAAGAGCCCACCAGTTTCTGCAAAATTAATTAACGTTTAAATCTTTTTTTAACATAAATAACTTTTTTCTATATAAAATTCGAGATTGTATAAATTTTAGCAATTACTTCTTATTGTCATAGTCTTGTAATCTTCCTCAGTTGGACAGATAAAATTATCTCTCCAAAAAATATCCATTCCCTGACCTCTATGAAGCTCTAACAGTTGCTCCATATATACTTGCGTTGCCTGATAATATTATATGTATAATATATACTATTATAATTCTTAATTTCTAATTTATTTGTATTTAATATATATATTCAATATGTATTAATTTAAATCATTATTTGTAATGATGCGTGTCACATATTTTTTAAGATAAACATTGATATAGATTGCATCTGCATTATGTATTAATTTCTTATTTTAAGTTTTACACCTTTAATAAATCAAAATTAATTATACGACGAATAAATAAAGAAAGGAAAAAAGAGAGACATATAGATAAAAAAACTGCATTGTAATAGCAGTCATGGCCGTACTCAGTCTACCATACGCCGCATTTATTAACATATTAATATAACATTTACTTGATTCTCTAAAAATCGATTCTATGTCGTTATTTATTAAAACTATTAATAATTATTTCAAATAGCTGCTTTTATCAATATTTATTATTAATATTAAGAAAGATAATTTAAAAAAAATGAGAAAATAGGACAATTTTAATGGTGTGTTTCTAAATTAATTTTAAAAATACTCTCACATAAAATTATTATATAAACAATATAGGTTAGAAACGTGGTACGAATATACAACAATATAATTAAAAAGGCATAAAACCACGAACGCCTGATATACATAATGGCTTAAGAATTATATATTTGAAATATTACAATAAACGTTTCTGTCTTGCTTCAAACCTTCTTCAGTATTACATTAAGTCTCAAAATTTGCATATTACGCATATAAATAATTTAAGTCCTTAATTTAGAACATTACGCATATAAATAATTTACGATATTACAATTATATGTTAAATACGTTACTAGCAGATGTTTTAATTCTGTTCAATGATAGATGTGATTTTTTTCCATTTAAACGCAACAGCGATCCATACAAGTTAGATTGTCTAACAGATCTTGATACGTAAACCAACAATTAAAAAGTAAACAAAATTTTCTCAATTTCATGTCCACACAAAAGTTCCAATTTCTATTAGACAATATGTACAATTGTAAATCAATTAATAAATTCGACGTGTAAAAACCAACATAGTTATCTTATAACAAACATTTGGAATACTTAATCAGATTCAGTTTAATACATTAAAATTAAATATTATAGTTTAAAAAATGTGAAGTTATCTCGTCTTCGACACAGGTATTCTATAAATGAATATTCTATAATAACGTATTAGGATCAATTTTAATCTCTTGACAATTTTTAAACTATATCTTTTAAACTATACCATTTAATTTTTTTTTTAAACTATACTATTCAATTAGGATCAATTTTTAACTATAATATTTAATTTTAATGTATTAAACTGAATCTGATTAAGTATTCCAAATGTTTGTTATAAGATAACTATGTTGGTTTTTACACGTCGAATTTATTAATTGATTTACAATTGTACATATTGTCTAATAGAAATTGGAACTTTTGTGTGGACATGAAATTGAGAAAATTTTGCTTACCTTTTGATTGTTGGTTCACGTATCAAGATCTGTTAGACAATCTGACTTGTATGGATCACTGTTGCGTTTAAATGGAAAAAAATCACATCTATCACTAAACAGGATTAAAACATCTGCTAGTAACGTATTTAATATATAATTGTAACATCGTAAATTATTTATATGCGTAATGTTTTAAATTAAGGATTTAAATTATTTATTTGCGTAATATGCAAATTTTGAGACTTAATGTAATACTGAAGAAGGTCTGATGCAAGACCGAAACGTTTATTGTAATATTTCAAATATATAATTCTTAAGCCATCTATATCAGGCGTTCGTGGTTTTATGCCTTTTTAATTATATTGTTATTATATAATATTATTATTGAACGTCTTTTAAACTTTGTATTTAAATAAATTGAAAACTCTTAAGTATTATATGGTAGCGAGAGATGTATATCTCTCGTCATGGTTTATTTTTACATATCAAAATCAAGATTGGTAAAGACTAATGTTTTTTTTTTTTAAGAATAAAACACATATTATGTTTCTTCTTGAATATGTTTTTAAGGGGGTGGCCTCATGTACCCGGTTCAAAAAATCGAAAAAAATTTTTTTGCTTTAATCGATAGTAGAAAATATATTCCCAAAGTTACAGAACGAAATTCGAATAAATTAGGAAGCTACAACCCATTTATGATGCACAGATACTAACTACTACACAGATACTAAAAACTTTAAACGCGTTTTTCTCGAAACTAGTTTTTTGAAACTGGCGGGAAAGATAACTCAAAAACTATTCGATCGATCGAGTTGTCCCTGTGTACACATGTTGTTTAATGTCATGATTTGTCGATAAACCTACAAATTTAGTAAAATAACTAATTAAAACAATTGTTATTGCATAATTAAATTGAAATTTTTGGGATCAAAATCGTACTTCCCTTACGGAAAAATACTATTAAGAATCAATAGTTACTATTGGTATTCCAGTAGTTACTA